TGTCACTGAAAATTGCAATTTAAAATATTGTATAAAAATAAGAAGATGTGGTATAAACGCCAATGAGACAACTCTCCACCAGAGACCAAATGACATAGAAGTTAACAACTATAGATCACCGTAAGGCATTCAACAATGAGCAAAACCCATACCGCATAGTCAGCATGTGTTTGTATGAATATGACGATTTAAAAGTTGTCTGCTCAGGTTAAACAATTAAGGAAAGATATCTTACAAGAATAATTATCCGTTAAAAGTTTATGTACTCTAATAGATCTTTGAGGTTTTTTAGTATCCACATCTGATTCATACATCCCCTAGAGTATGTAGTTTCACAATTACTAGTACTCTGAAGTTCTGCTTTGATTGCTAATAAAATTGATGTTGATAGTTTTAAAAGTGGTTTTGTGGATCAATTGCCATTTAAGTCTTTGAAAATAAATGTAGCATGAGTGTTCATAGATCAATTCAGCTTTTTAATTTTTATTTGCATTAACGATTTCACAGCAATTATCGCTATCGGAAAAAAGTACCCACTTCTCCTTTTCGCGTTTAACCAATTGCCTTAATGACACAGTGAAAGTTTTTTTTAACATATTTACAAGTATCCCAAAATGTATACTTCTCCGAAGCACATGAGAGTCAGAACCAACGGCATATACAATCTCGAGTATACATTCCTGAACTGAATCAATTAGTATTTGGAAGTTGTGTACTCTTTTTCTAGATTTAGGCTCACGATATTTTGGTCTTTTGGTTAACACATTATGCATATCAAATTGCAGGATAAAACAATGTTCATGTATTTTAAGAAGTTATACTTTATATGATTTATTTTTTATCGTGACAAAACAGAAAAAAAAGCTCGGCGAGCGTCGATTTTTTTCAAGTTTCTAAAGCTCATTTACATTTTTTTAAATACTTTCCGACATTATATAGTGTTTATACAATAACCCGTTGAATAACGTCACAACAGGCGAAATGGTTGGTTTAAGCGATGATTAAAAAGGAAAGTACTTTGTCGTGCATTTATTGGAATTATAAATTGTATTAAAGATTATATTTATAGAGTATGTTGAGGTGTAAACATCAAATATATAGTCATTCGGACTTTTTTTGCACAAAATAAACGCATTTCCAACCCTAAAAAAGGCATTAAATTTAAGTGCTCCAACCAGCAAATTTTTGTTAAATCAAGGTTTTCGCTAGCGTTGTTTTAAATAATTCCACACCTTGTTGAAATGTCGCCATGGATTTTGCGGTTTATAAGAAGTCTAAACACCTTTTTAAAACTTAGTGACAGTTGTCTGACATTCAAAATAATGGAATTCTTATGACACATCTATGTTAGTAAAGCAAATATTGAGGAAGCGTATTTTGGTGCTGTGGAAAGCTAATAAATTTAGCAAATAAAATTGAGAATGGAAATGGGAATGTGCCAAAGAGACAACAACCCGACCAAAGAGCATAAAACAGCCCAAGGCCACCAATGGGTCTTCAACACAGCGAGAAAATCCCGCACCCGGAGGCGGGCTTCAGCTGGCCCCTTAAACAAAAATGTTTACTAGTTCAGTGAAAATGAACGACACACTAAACTCCGAAACATATAAATGAACTAAAATTAAAAAACATACAAGACTAACAAAGGCCAGAGGCTCCTGACTTGGGACAGGCGCAACAATGCGGCGGGGTTAAACATGTTTTGTGAGATCTCAACCCTCCCCATATACCTCTAGCCATCGTAGAATAATCAAACACACAGCAATACGCAAAGTAAAACTCAGTTAAAAAGAAGACCGAAACATGTTATATTTAAGTATATCTGTTACCTACGTCGCTTAAAATTGTTCTCATAACAGGAGAACCCTAATTATATAATCTTCTATATGTATATACTTGAATTTTGAAAGAAGAATTCGAAACTATCACACTAGAAGAGTTGCTCACCTGCTACAAATAAATGCAAGTTTTTGCGTCTACGTAAGACGTAACATATCATTACCAATTCGGTTATTCACCAGGAAGAACGTTAAGGTACAATAACAAAATTATCATGAAAAAAAAGATTTATTTAGTAACATATTGCAAATCTTTTAACTCTGATGAGGTATATCGATTTTGATTCTTATCAATAATTTATCATTTATTTAAGTTTATCGTCAAGTTAAACGAGTTGTTTTATTATTGTAAATTATTTTATAAAGTTTACTCCAAAATGAAAATTAGGACTATGTTATGAAGGCTATTGAGTAAACAACTTTTTTTCAATAAATCGCCTCGGTGGTCTCGTGGTAGCGTGTTCGCCTCGAGTTCGGCGGGTCAAACCAAGATGTTACTAGATGGACATTGCTTTTTAACAGACATTGCTTTTGAAGCCCTTTATTCGTTGAAGACAGACTTATCCTTTGAGAAAAAACTATGTTGTGTTGTTGGTTGCTGTCTCATGCTCTATACAATCTCTTATCTTTTTATTAATATATTCATAATGAAAGTGTTCCTTCTTTAAATAAGTGGTGACCGGGGGAAAAAAAGGGGGGGGGGGGGGTATACCACTGATGAAAGGTGTTTCTTCGCATTTAGTTTTGTCCTATTTATGTCATAATTTGGTTTCTGTTCACCAACTTATTTATATTCAAGTAATATGAAATAAAGGAGTTGTGGTATGATTGGAAATTGAGATAGCTATATAATTCGTATAATATAGATAAGAAGAGGTGGTATGAGTGCCAATGAGACAACTATCCATCTAAGTCACAATGTGTAAAAAGTAAACAATTATAGGTCAAATTACGGCCAATAACACGGAGCCTTGGCTCACACCGAACAGCAACCTGTTTGTGAATTTTGGTTGGCATTTTTCTTCAATAGTCGGCATTCCTATATAAACCTACTGTCAGACTTGTTCCTTGATTCGTATGTGTCAGATTTCATGATTGAGAAGAATGATAAGAAGCGAGCGATGATTTTAACTTTACGTTCCGTATTGTTGATGTTGACGCATTGAATTGATCAAAGTTTGTTGACTATGTTGATCGAATTTGAAATTAAGGATACTACATAATGCAATAAGGTATGTTTCATATTTGCTTAACTTCTTAATATTGACAGTGATGGTCGGTTTAGACCTAGATTTTTAGACAGAAAACAAAATCAATTTTCCCATTGTCATCTTTCTGTTTCTATGCAGCAAGCGACACCTGCATGTGGAGTATATATAGCTTGTTGATAGTATGTATGCCCTGCCTTGATTTCATAGATGGAGGTTGTTGCTTACAGGAACTCTTTGAACTTATAAGGGTTCGTAATAGTAGAGTAGAAATCATCTTTTGTGAAAAGTCAATACACGCCATCATAAGTTGGTTTACCGTTTTAAAAAATACTTGGTAAAGATGACCACGGAAGCTTTCTGTAAGTCAAATTCACAATGAAATCAGCAAATGGGACTCATTAAAGGATTTTCTTGAAACAAAACGATGTGTGTCACTTTTGGAACAAGATCTTTTGTTACTATACATGTCACTATAATTTACTTACTATAACACAAGCGCATTACAATAGTTTAAACTGTCATTTCTACGGGTCCACCAACAAAATTTGAGACAGAACAACTAGGCGGAAGACAATTGTGCATTCATGTACAAAAGTCGAGACAACCTTTTCTTAAACTTGAAAAATGATAGTAAAATCTGTTAACGAATAATTGTTCTTGGTAAGAATATTTATCTTTTAAAATTATTATTTTTTTTTTAAATGAACAGACATAACTTTTCAATAGTTTTATTCACACCAACACAATCTTCCATATTGAAACTTTCCTGGACAATGCCTTGTTCGACAACATATGTACATTTCCGAAAAACGTACCATACAAATTTCTATATATGTGGCGCACTCTAAAATTGGTGTATGGAAAGAACTTTAGTGTAAGTGTGCATATAAATAATTTGGCCTTGAGCATCACCGAAAAGCGCATTGGATCCAGTAAAATTTGTACCTGGTAGACAAATTAATGACAGGGGAGTAGGAACCATTCAATTGTACATCAGAGTAAAAGTTGGGGTAAAATTTGGAATTTAAAACCGGGTCAACATATTAAATAATTTTAAAAAAATATTAAAAAATCCCCGAGTAATATATCAACAAATTGTAAATAGATCAAAGAGAAACTGTCAAAGTTATGCCTATTAACAATTAATTTTCAAATAACAAAAACTTAACACCTGACATAAGACAGCAAATGAAGAAAGGCAAATTTTGGAAAGGCACATATGCATATGGAGGAAATAAACTAGCTTTTGGAGACCTTTACCATCTCCCTTTTCGTATTTAGCAAAATCCAAAAGCTTCGAGAAATTAAACCGCCGCAGAAATCATGCAATATACCGTTGACATAATAATAACAAAAGTATTATTAGTTTTACAGCATTTTAGCGTTGGGAACAAAACGTTTTAAGCGTTATTCCTGATAGCTTCAATCTAAATAAAATACTAGTATATAGAATCGAGGCGACTTACTTTCAAATCTTTGTCTTCGAAAGTTTTTTTTTCTTCTAATGAAAAGGAAAAATAAGTTTCTGCATGTTTAGACTTAAACGCAGATGAAGACAAACTAACAAACTGGTATTTTCGCACATATGCACACAAAGAGAGCCACCGAAAGTGCTTAGTTCAATAACAAAATAGAAATAATAAAACAAAAAAAAAAAGGGACAAATTTAAGAAGACGATTAAACTTAAATGCTGCTAGATATAAACGAATCAATAACTGGTGAATGTAAATCTTATTAACAACATCATTGTAAAACCATTATATGAAGTATGAAAAGAATTACCGAGTAAATTACCCTTTTCGTCTCATTTCCTTAAAACAAATATCGATAATAAAGATTCAAAAAATCACTGTCATCTATATGTGAAACAGGTCTTTATGTGACTTTGTATATTGTTGACCAAGTGCATGTCTGTGTCAGTAAAAAGTCATAAACAAAGGAAAAAGAAAACTATATTAGAATATTTATTATTTCCATAACTTGATACTAGTTAATAGTTTCCTTGGTAGTCATTAAAAACAATTTCCATAACTAGATACTAGTTAATAGTTCCCTTGGAAGTCATTAAAAACTTGTAGCTTTCGCTTCCTCTCGGAAGTCATTAACATTTTGATGGTGGTGCTTGAGGCAGAGTTTCTTCAATGGCAAAATGAAGTAGACCTAAAATGAAACATACAAAAACATTAGATCACAAGTTAAACTTCAAAAAGTGATAATCGAAGAAGAAAAAAAAAATTAAAAAAAATCATTAAGCCTAGAATCTTTCACTGCTTTATAATCTGGCGTAGTATACGAATGAGATGCTCTCCTTCTATGTTTTAATTTTAGTTTTTTACTGAAATGATTTTTATTTACTAAACACTATTCTTCTAAACAAATTTTGGAAGAACTTATTTTCCTTTTCGAGATGGAAACAATAGTTGTAGCTTGTTTTTTAACAAGAGATGTAACTTTTACAACCTTTGGTCACGAATCATTGTGTTGATGATATTCAATGTAAATAACTGTACATGTGTACGTTTACACAAATAGATTTTTAAAAAATGAACAAGAACGCATATAAGATATAAGATTAGCATTTGTGGAATGATTAATGATAATCTGTATTCACAAAAATGATTACACTACTCCCTATGTTTTGACCAACAGTACGACAACTGGTAAAGGCAAACAGCACATGCACATTGAAATCTGGACGCAAAGTTTATCTGAATGCTCACTTTGTTGAAACAGTTACCTACACATGAAAATGTTAAAAAAGTAATCTGTTACCCTTCATACAGTTACATTTTTGATATGTGAGTTCGTAACAATTTAATTTCATACCTGCGGCGGCAGACTGAAACCCAGCGTTGTAGTCAACTGCCACCTCGTTTTTGATGTAATCGTTACGATTGTCTTCATAAAAGTCATTTTCATCAGGTCCACCAACTAGGGCACCATAAAGAATTTGTGGATTGTCAGATGGTGAATACTGTTGTGCATTATTGCAAGGTTCTGGCATATCAGGACATGAACTGAAAACATAATCATGAGAACTTATTCTTGATGAATACTTTGAAAAATCCATTCAAATGTTAATGTGATTTGTTAAGACTCGCTGACTTGATTTGTAGTATTCATTTACCCTTTTCTTTCTAATGACATTTTCTGAAATTGTGTTAATAATGTCGGCAAAGAAAAACTTAAAACATACTCAATAGTATGATGTTGGTTTCCGTTTTCCTTCTGTTTAATGACGTCTTTTTTATTTATCAACAAAATCATAACAATTTGCCAAAGCAGCCTCGTTTTGATTCATATTACAGTCAATATTTACCTGGCACGGTGATGTGGCTTCCTTGGATAATTATTACCATACCCAATCTGGTAACTCATTTTGTAATTGTTATCGCCGAGCATATAATGTATCTGTGACATGGCCCATGTTTTATATTCTTCGGCTTTGGAAAATCCTGGTGTATCAGCCGCCATTAAAGCAATAAATGCAGCATTTGCTAAAAACAAACAGTTGATTTAAATGCCGCATAAATCAAAAATTGACAGTAGGCAGTTTCAATGAAATTATTTGTCTGTTATGTTAGCGATTATTTGGTTGTCATAAATTTCGAAACTAGTACAATAAGATATCCCAAAAGAATTAGTTAACGATAACGTGCAAAGATGAGTAGAAACTTGAAGACAATAACGATGAATACTAAGTAATTAAAGAAAAAATACAAAATTTTGATAATCATATGATAGGCTGGATCTTTAGATCCAAGCTTGAATTCCTTTTTCAAGATTTGTGAACTATGATTAGATTATAAAAAGAACAGTTTTCTACGATTTTACCCCAATTATGTATTGAATTGAACAACAAATTTAAACATGCAGAATGCACATTACGCAGACTTTAGTCGAAATAAGGATCCTCATATTTATTTCTGGTCTTGATTAACATCGTGATACTGATTGAGACTCTCCACAGCTTCAAAATATCAAAACAAGAGAACATTTCTCATTATTTTCAAGCTCTCTTGCAAAACAATGCTGCTAAAGTGTCCCTTGATTTGAACCTTCCATCGCCGGTACAAACGGTTGAACAACAAATTTTACTAATTACCATTTGGTCTAAAAGCATATATCTTAAAGTAAAATGAAAATGCAGATTTGAAGAGAAATGAGAAAAATCTTAATTACCAGCATATCTATTTGATCCCCATTTCAGTCTGAATGCTAAACCACAGTTGGTATGTTTAACACTTCCACTCATAAAATCCTTAATGAAATTAACGACAGGAGTCTTGTACTTCTGGTCACCAGTTTCTTTGAAAAGTAGCAACTGCAAAAGAATTAAATATTCATGTTACATGTCAAAATATCTAATGGAAGGAAATTCCACAGATTTGGAGAGGGATTCAAATATATCACAAGTTTGAGACGGTATACATCTTGGTTTAACGCCGCTTCCTGTTAGTAGTTAACTTCTGTAGCATAATTACAGTAGTTTTTTTTTATTATAGTTTTTAAAATTGCAACCATGTCATGTTTACAAACGTCAAAAGCTTCCATTAATAAGGTTCCTCTGTTAATAATCTATATAATTCAATATTAACATTGGTCCATACCATCTTCTCTGATACATTATGTCCTTCATTCAAAACCGCAGTTTAGCATTATCTCAAATTAATTCACAGTGTTAATCAAAGTGATAGTAAATGGCTGACATAAGAGTGCGTGGTTTTTTTAGATCAGTGTTAACAATTTTGAATAGGTACATATAAATATCAATATAATAATATAAACGTACCTGACAAGCAACAATTTTTTCGTCCCAAGAAAATGCCCATCCTGCGTTTGTGGTTGCAAATCCTTCAGCGTCATTCAGATACTTTTGTTCTTTCGTTGCTTTGTATAACATTGCCGCTGAGAGACAAAGTTCGTCCTCATATCCACTATACGATCTAGAATTTAAAAAATATATACGACTTAAACCAGTTATATTTGAATGATAAGCAAAACTTCAATGCTATGCAAAATCTTTTTCTGGGAAATTCCTATATATCTTTTGTTTTTTATTTTGAAAATTTATCATTTAAGACTAAACTCTTTATTAGCTTGAAACGACCTTTTAGTCACATACGATATTTGTTTTTAGAGACGTGAATCTTACATCTAAATATATATATGATAAACGAGTAAATCGTCTTTAAGCAATTTAATGTAGTACATGTATTTAGAAAACAATGGCTAAGAACAGATAGTTGGGGGGTCTTTTTAACAATCAGTTATGATTTTTAAGTACAGATGAAGTATATACATAAAAGCTACAGATACAACTTCATCTGCTAAAAATGAATTTCCCGCTTTGATATATGTAATCTTAGTATTTATATTTGAAAATTAATTTTAAAATTACTTACGTATAAAACGGATTTGCTTCTGGTACAGAATCACTGTATTTGCCTCTGTATGTTTTCGCAAATGTATACAACGTTCTGGCCTTTGACAACAATTTAGCTGAATAAGCGGGATCTAAAAATCAAAATTTAAAAATTGTCTTTGCTTTGTCTTCTTGATATTTTGTAAGACACATAAAACAATTCCGATTAAGGAATGGTTGAATATTTCATCAACTAGAAAATTTTGAAAATTTTGTTCACGGGAAAACAGATCGCATATGGAAATAACACAAATGCGTTTTGATCTTTAATTGGTTTATTGTCATGAACATGCCGTGTGCAGGAGAAGAAAAGACAACAACTAAGCACAAGTAACAAACTATTACCTTTTGTTGCAAATGCAATCGATGCAGATGCAAATGCTGACACAGTTTCACCGGCAACATCACTGCCAGGTTTGCCGGTTGATACAGCAAATGCGTCTCTGGTATACGTCATATCTTCAGGTCGTCCCCAAAATGCATGGTCTTTATTGCCGTCTGCCACCTACAATAAATGATATAATATAAAGGAGGTATATTTGTTTGTTTCGGATTTCTTACAACACTTTCTGAGAATTTTGGATTTATGTCATTTTTTAATCTAATAAAAACAAATTAGAGTGCAAGATTGAAACAACAATCGTATGTATATCTTGAAATCACCCTCACATGTTAGAAGAGATTTGAGATGGAGTTATTTGACAGACTTAGCCCGAATGATTGTCGTCGTTATATTCCGATCACTACGTAAACTGCCAGGGAAGAGCCATGTCGGGTAGAGAAATACAATATTTTTATACAAGGAATCTTAATTATAGATATCGCACCTTTAGCTACCTAAACGTTTCTTTCAAGAAGATGTTTAAACGAAAGCAAACAAATTGTTTGTAATTAATTCTATACTAAGTCTGTAGACAGCTTTCAAACTATCACATGGAGAAAAGATGCGAAAGATAACAAAGGGACATCCAAACTCATTAGTCGAAAACAAACTGAAAAATGCCATAGCCAAAAACCAAAAACGATCAACACAAACAGCTGGACTCGGTGGCAACAAGAAAAAACAAGAATGTGTCCATAGTACACTGATGCCCCACTCGCACTATCATTTTCTATGTTCAGTGGACCGTGAAATTGGGGTCAAAACTCTAATTTGGCATTAAAATTAGAAAGATCACATCATAGGAAACATGTGTACTTAGTTTCAAGTAGATTGGACTTCAACTTCATCAAAAACTATCTTGACCAAAATCTTTAACCTGAAGCGGGACAGACGGACGAACGGACGGATTAACGAAAGAACGGACGCACAGACCGAAAAACATAATGCCCCACCAAAAAGCCCCTAGGTGGGGCATTAAAAAATTGAAACTAAGTCACTGAGGCCAGAGCTGGACTTCAAATCCATCACGATATTTCTTATAACACTTATTACTAACAAAAAAACTGAACAAAAATAGTCTTTCCAAAGAACGGAAAACAATCAAAAGGTTAAACACAAAAACAGGTATTTTATGTTCTGTTATTTATTTTTACAGCAATTTCTGCAATTTGAATTTTATATTGTCCGAGGAATAACAACGGCCATTTCAAAATGTTTTTTTGTTGTTTTTCCTGGTGTTTAAAGTGATATCACAGAGAAACATAAAATTTTCTATAAAAAATGCAAACAACCCTATTGATGCAGTAAAAGCAATGGCTTTTTCTCTCATTGGTTCAGTTGATTTCTAGAGCAAAGTTCATTAACCGGTCGTTACAAGCAATATTATAATATTGTCTGTAGATGTCCAAAAGTATAACAATTTTCTACCATACCTGACAATAATACAGATTCTTGCTTTCTGTCCAACATTTTTCTAAGTAATCCAATGGCCATTTTATTGAATCGTACATCAGTTCAAGTTGTCCAGCTGCTTTATAGGCATCTTGCCACTGACTCAGTCCCCAGGACAAAACGGTAGTCGCGCTGGCCATTGGTAAATTGAATTTTACACCATCACCAGCTGTAATAAAGGAGATAAATAATATTCAATTGACGAGGTTCAATCCTTGAATTTCTTAAAACGTTTTCCTTTATTCTTTTTGAAATTATATCTGAATATAACAGTTTCAGCATGTTTTAAGAGAGTAATTTCAAGACACGTTAAAACTGTTACTTTGGAACTGGCATGGAAAAACAACGGATGCTGTTTTAATTAAATTTGCTGTTATCAAATTATGAAATCATTTTAAATTGAAGAATTCTGTATCTCCCTCATGAAAAGCTCTTATTCCATGTACAATATTTGGCTTTACTTTTGGTCATTTTTTGGTTTATCAGCTCTTCAATGTTTGTATTATGTTTTGGATTTTCGTATATGTTGGCCCGATCTTCACTAAAGAGACAATAATTGTCTAAAACTGGTATTGTTATTGGTTTTAATGACAGTAAATCGATACCTCTATTGGCGGACTGTTAGTTCCCGAGGGTAACATAAGCCCAGTAATGAAAATACGGAAACTTGTTTTATTTAGATTTGCTGTTATAAAATTCGAAATCATTTTAATTTAAGAAATGTATCTCCCTGGTGCATAGCTCTGATTCCTTATCCATGTTTGTTTTTACTATTTTTCATTTTTGATTGAAACAGTTCTTCAACGTTTGTATTATGTTTATGATTTTTATACATTTTGACCTCGAACATCACTGAATTGTCGAAATGCGCATATGGTGCAATACAATTGATACCGTTATAATGTTAGTATCTTACCGTCATACCAGCCACCGGTTAAATCTTCGCCTGAGAGTCCTTTATCACCAAGTGCTGAGTCACCTCTGAACGGGATTCTGTTATTAGACGGAAGTTTACCTGATCTTTGAGCCTCGTAGAATAAAATGGATAATTCTAAAACTTTTCGATAGTCATATTTAGTCGCAACTGAAAATATATATAAAAGGATCGATTATAAATAACAGTTTATCTGAAAATTAATGATAGAACATTAAATATTTCTGTCAATACATGTATCTAGATACATTGTGTACGTGAGCTATACTTTAATGACTTATCAACAATCGGCTAACCTAGGGTGGATCCGCCTTTCTCAATCTTGAGGTTGAGTAGTTGTAGTTGGTGAAGTTGGTGGCCTAGTAGTAATTGTCGTCGGCCGAGTTGTGACGAATGTATCATTAAAAAAGCAAATAACAAGATGACAAGCAGCATTATATACACATAAAGTTTGATTGAAAACAGAAATTTATTTTAATCATTTTGTATTTGTCACAGCCTCATCAATACCTCTTCGATTCTTCCTTTTTATATTAATGTATTATTATACCTGACTGTTTTGTCGTGGTTGCCTCTGGTGTTGTTGTTGTTGTTGTTGATGGTGATGTCGTTGTAGTAGACCTTTGTTGAGTAGTTTGCTGTTGAGTAGTTGTAGTTGGTGAAGTTGGTGGCCTAGTAGTAATTGTCGTCGGAGATTGTGTAGTTGAAGTCAGTCTTGTTGGTGGCCTAGTAGTAATTGTAATCGGTGAAGATCGTTGTTGAGTAGTTGTAATCGGCAAAGTTGTGGTAGTTGGTTGCTCAGTTGAAGTTGTTGGTGTGGTTGGTTTTAATGTGATTGGCTCCAAATCTCCGTTATAAAGTTTGCAAATCCCGGAAGGCTCCTGTGAACTAGAGTAACGAACGTGAAACGGAAAACTAATTGAAGGTAGATTGGCGTTATGGTTGTTTTTCACTAAATACCACCGACCATCGGGGTCTGCTTGTTCTTCATGTCCAATCCATATCTGTAAAAAAAAATAACGATAGGAAAATAATAGTTGTATTAAAATAAAACAGAAACAATAAATAAAAATTGCCTGGAGCTCTATTTACCTTTGTTCAGAAACGAACTTAAGAATAAACTTGTCAAAATAAAAAAAAATATTTTCTGCTTACTCCGAACATTTCCGATTTTTATCGTTTGAATAACGTCATCTTTGTTTATAGAAAATCAAATCATTTAAATTATGCGGATCAAATTCAAACCCATCGAGGAACACTATTTAATGATGAATCTTCTTGTAAATAAATTTCTTAAACGTCAAATATTATCTTACATAAATATAAAAAAGGAAGATGTGGCATGATTGCCAATGAGACAACTTTCCACCAAATACCAAATGACATAGAAGTTAACAACTATAGGTCAATGTACAATCTTCAACAATGAGCAGAACCCATTAACAGCATTGAAATGTCTTAACTAAACATTTGTCTCCTGTTAGGAATTTAATTTGTTTTTTATGTATTTTCTTTTTGAGAAATATAGTGTTGTTGAGTCACTTTTGAGGACTTAATCGTTTATTCTAAACCTAGGTTTGCTGTTATAAATAACAGTTACTGAGCAGTCTGGTATTAAGCAGACTGAAAATATCCTACTTGGAGGCAAGCTAAGTTTCTGAGCGGTGAAAATTACCGCAGCGGATTATAACTGAATATTACCTACTAGTTTATCGTTTATTCAACGATTAGTTTAGATCAAAATGACTACTTTTGTACAAAATATATTTACTCACAGGGTCAATATCTAAATGTTTTCAAATCATACTGGAAATTGAATATTGAAATTTTCCATATTTTCATAAGCTCAAAATGCTGTATGTTGCTGTTGAAGGCATTTTAATACAAACATTGAAGTTTTACATGTTTTTGTCAAATGTTCCAGCGAGGGACGTCGCTAAACAAAATGAATTTATCTATTCCCGAAAGACAATACATTAGCGTTACTTCCAACATAATGTTGGTTTTGGTTAACGATGTCCTTCATGAGCGTATGATTTCGTGATCTGTTTAATAATAAGCCATGTTATTGTTATGACCGTAAAGCACACACATACAATTTAGGGCTATAATACTATGAATTTAAATAACAGATTGAAAGACTTGAAAATGGCCCTGTTGTGAAATAAATTCAAAGGAAATAGGCCTTATCCCTTTACTTTTGAAGTACAGCCATAAACAAATTTAAAAAGATACCTCTAAATCAGACGTGTCCTCTGTAAAAAACAACAGTATGTAAAAACTTTCGAGAGGCGTATCAATTGGTAAGTCACATGTCGCTTGCATCTTCATTTTGTTGTTGTCTTGGTAACTGTTAACTATAACCATGTTCGCTGTTGTCGTTTCTTCTGACGGTATTGTAGGGGCAGGTGTTGGACTTTGTGTAGATGGAGGTTCTGGATTGCCTCCAGTTAAAATTGCGCAGTTTCCATTTGGCATTGTGTCGGAATCAAAAGTAATTTTAAAAGTAAATTGCAATTCAGGTGGATGCGTAGTCCACTTATTTTTCAATATATACCATCGTCCATTGGAATCCTCAGAAAATGTATTTCCAATCCAATTCTATAAATAAAGAAAATGTGTACATGAAAAAAAGGAAAATAGCATGCATAACGAGAACTACAAATTACGCGATTTTAAAACATTACAAATATCTATAATTATCTCAAATCGAAATTGGTTTTAACTTGTTCATTAACTTTTGATCTCGAGCAAATATTGATGACGGTTATTCCAGTAATACGTGTTGTGCATACGGAATTAATATTATGATGAGTGCGTGTGTTTCATGTATATATCAAATGTTTATTTCGATTTTAAAACAGTTTTAAATCGCATTGATGTATACAAATGACGTTAAAACTTCTGTTTTGGGAAAAGGAAAACCATACGGATGAAGTTAACTGATGAGGGGACGTCCTCTTTTTATAATCTATAGATACAGGTACAAGGTATGCACTTAACCATTTTGGTTAGAATAACGAATAAACCAGAGACTTACTTTAATTCCAGATGTATCTTGGTCTAAGGTAATGGCAATGTAAAAATCGTTCAAAGTTTCAGCTATGGGTAAAACACATTTCCCATTCATATACATTTTTCCATCTTTTTTCCATTCGTGTCTCTCTATTATGTTTGTCGATTCAATAATTGTGGCAGGGGCTGCTGCCGTTTCCGGTTCTTCTATTGGTTCGACATTACTTGAACAAGATCCGTCCAAAGGAATGTCACCTTTTTTATATGTTAATCTGAACTGAACATCAATCGTTTGTGGCCAGTACTCGTATTTGCTTTTCAGTTGATAAGTTTTACCGTCTGCTGAGTGTTCCACGACTTTCATTACCCATAACTTCAAATAAAGATTGTAAATTTTTTTAATAATGATACAAAGTAATTCAAACGTGAACATCAGATGAATAAAAATACGTTTAAAAACAAATGAAATACAGGAAGTAGCCTGTATGGTATAAGTATAAGTATATCCGGTTACATATGATTGATTGATTGTTGTTTGCTTTACGTCCAGTGGTAAATAAATCATGCATGTTCAAGATGATCGATATTTATGAACATAAGTTTATGATATCACAATTTTTAAGCCTTCTCTTGCGTTGTTAAATAGACTACTTTGATTTCCGAACATTTAGATCACTTTCTTGCTGAGCCCGGAGTAATTAATGGTTTTATAGAAATAACTAATAAAAAACAGGTTTTGAAAAATTATAAACGAGAAAATTCTGCATTTCTTCAATAGGATTAAACTCATTTTTTCTAGAGGTTATTGATGTGTATACTGGGGCGATTAACTCACAAACTGAATAAAAGTCTGAAGGACTTTTATGTAAAGTATGTGAGTCAGCTACCCAGTTTACACACCAATAACCTCTAGAAAAAATGTGTTTAATCCTTATAATTCTTAACCCAAACATTTGCAATTTTTAATTAACAGGTACATTGGCTACTATTTACCATCAAATGCACAATTGACTTTTCGTAACTAAGGAGAAAGCCGCCATATTACTTTCTGAAATCCATTAATGTTCGATTATTGCAATAGAATCTAAAATGAAATAACACCTACCTCAAAAACTTCATTTTAATGAGATATTATTTAAATTTGAAGCGTACATTTTGTACAAGAAACGGAATAATCTTCATCTTGGGAGTTTTCATTCGTATGACGTCAAGTTTTCCAATGACGTTAATGCGCCAAGCTCATTCATGAAATTTTGCGGAATTTTATTTAATTGTAAATTCATAAATTTTCCAAGCTCTAATGCATTATTTCTTTTTATTATTCATTAGCATAGAAATAACAGTTATGTATTTGTTTTTTCAATTGCAATTTGCTTGAATCCCTTGATCCCATGATCTGTATCGCGCATGGATAGATCACAATGAAGGTTACGAAAATAGTTTCGGCAACATGGTCTATCGAAGTGTAAACCAAGGGAAAAAATGATAACGGACCAATCCAATTCAAGTATTTGTAGATATGCAAATCATATAAGAATTATTCTCTTTTATTTAATTTGTATGCAAGAAAGTTACGATTCATGTGCTGTTGCGGAAAGATTTTTGCAGTTATTCTTACCTTAATTTTTTCCGTTGGAATATTTGTATTTATAGACATTTTCCAAGCACCTTTTGTCATCTTTTCTGTTAAATTAAATGTGCAGTGTGCATGTTGTCTCGTCAAATCATCTTTTGTCCAAGTTTGCGCCTTAATCATTGGAACCGTTGCATATGTTAATGTCCATAACGTTGTAAAAGAGATCAAAATCAAAGACGAATGCATTTTTATCTGTTGAGAAAATGAGAAAAAAAATAAATAGAGGAAATGTTGAAACGAATACTGAAGAGTCTAAGTAATATACATCTATGTGTATTTACAAATATCGGAAAATTTTTACCCTTCCGGATCACATGAATGCAACAACAGTTTTTGATGGGATATTTATTAATAAATCAATATAATCTTCGAATTATAATTGTTCTTATTTTCCCTGAAAATATTATTGTTTTGTCCTACATCATTTGTCGCGCTTCAAATATAGAGTAAATTGTTGAGATGATTAGGGGCTCTGAACTAAAAACCATAGGTTTTGTTAAAGTTTTATAGTATTTAAAAAAAAAGTATTAGCCCCCAAAAAAGTAGTATTAGACAAAAAAAAAAAATTCGCCAACGGTTTTGTTTTTTAGGCTCTAGAATGAGGACTACACAAGAAAATAAAACCGGTCATTTGGAAGGTAGGACATAAAAGAATTTTGTTATAAAAATATTCAAGGTCGCCTTTTTTAAAGTTATTTTCAGTGATAAAACGGTCGTTTGTGTTGCTTTTGCTTTCTGGATGTCCAGTGACAAATATTTGAGGCAAATTCAGGACAAGAACATTTTCTTTAAAAAGTGTATCAAATCAAACGGTATATTCTGCAAAGTAGGTCGAGCCGAACGGATATATTTTGCTAGAAGACTCATCGACAGTAACATTTTACGTGGGTATAATTTTTACCCTTATATCCCCTTCTCCTTTTGACTACCACTGCATGGATAGGAAAATGAGGTATTCACCCTACACGGACGATAAAATAAGAAAAATAGGTATCACATATTTTTTTCTTAATAAACAGAAAAATAGGTAAATCATTCATATAAAGAACGTATTGGAGATGCCTGCATCCCTTTTAATACAAAATTTGTTTTTTCAACAAATCAAAACACTCTGTATCTACGTCTAAATATATATTCAAAATTATAAAAAATAATTACATATTTATATGTGATCTTGCGGCTTTCAGTAAAAGTCTATATTGGCCATAAGATGTGTTATCATGTAAATCTTTTATCGGGAATCCTAAAGACATCCAATCTATAAGAGAGATGAATTAAAACTTCAAGACAGGTGTTACGGACAAAATGAGAAAGAAGTTGAGATGCTAAGGGACAAAAAACACTTGAAAATAAACCTTTGAAAAAAACAAATAAAAAACATTAAAAATAAAATATCATCTAATCGATGATTTAAAAAGATTATTAAATATTTAAGCTATTTTTTAGACAAAGTAATTTGGAAAACAAACAAAAAATATGTTAAAAAAATAAAGTTAGTTTCCGCTTCCGAATGTTAATGCATTCTAAAGTACTCATTGAAATTAAATTGAAAATATATCTTTTCTTCAAATTCAGCTCAAAACAATGAATGACAGTTTAAGCACAACAATATAATAAAGCGTAACGAGATTGATTTGTTGGTTTTTAAACTGAAACTGAAACTCAAATTCAAATTTGTTTGGTTTGTTATAGTATTTTTTTACTTTTCTTGGTTCTATTTCAATGGAGGAATTTGTAAATATCATATTTTTTTAACTATTAACCTGTCTTTTCAAACCCGTGTTTACTTTTGAAAGATTTATATTTTGTGCATTTAAAAAAAAGGAGCAGCCCTAGTTCAACTTTAATAAGTGCCTCAACGATAAATATGTAAAAAAAATACACTACCTTTAAGAATCACCAAGTTAGTTTCAAAGTTTCTGGCTCATATCGGTCTGGTAGGTCGGTTTTTATATAGTATCTTGACGTGTTAAATCAACAAACAAGATTTAAAAAAATAATGTCAATGTAACTTATTAACGTCTGGTCAAGCAGATAATATCATTTAGGTCATGAATGACCTATACTTTATATTGTTGACATTTAATCTTTATAATAATGTTCTAATGTAAAATTTCAAGTTTTGATTTGTTAGCAAACTAAAGAAAAACAACGCGTCACAAATTTTGTTTTTTTCTTGTGTGAAGCGGAAAAAGTCAAACGTCAGCAGAATATTACAGTACATAAACCACCTTCTCAAAAATCTTTAGAATATGAAAAATATAAACATCTTTGAACAAAATTTGAACTTAATAAAATCGTTGGGATGCATGTTATATATAAAAAAAAATGTTTTATACTATGCACTTTCATAATTCTTTTAAAATTAATAGACATTTATTAATTATTGAAATAACAAGTTTTTTTTTCCACTAAATAGACTTGATGAGACAGTTCTTTTAATAAAAAGTGGAATATGGGTTTTTGTGTTGAAGGCCGTACCTTGACCTATAATGGTTTACTTTTATAAATTGTTACTTGGATGGAGAGTTGTCTCATTGGCACTCATACCACATCTTCCTATATCTATTTTATGTATCAAGGAATAAAATACTTGTGTTTGGTTGGATAATGGATGGAAACGTTTCTTTGGATTTGTGCCGATAAATGAACGAACCTGTATTATTTGGGTGCCACCCTTCCTTTATATATTTGAAATCAACCTTGTAGACTGGTTAACTGTTTAGACCAGAACCAATTTGCGCAAATTACAGTTTTGAATTATATAAGTAAAAATAAATAAATTGATAAAATTGGCGCAATTGTATGATTGTTTTATTAACCCAAATGAAACCTATAATTTTTAAAATGAAGCTGCGCAGACGTAGCATTGGCGCAAATAAGTTGAGGTGCAAATGGGTCCATTTTTGGCGCAAATAGTTATTGGCCACTTTTTAAGTCTCGAGTCTAAGAACAAATGCAAGGCGACCAACGATATTGACTATCACATAAGTGTCTTTCAATTTATTAAACTAATGTAATGAATATGTGCATCTTCTTAAGAGTTAACCAATCATTGTAATATTTTGAATAATTCTTTATTAAATACAAAACAAACACAGTTTAAGGTAAACAGGTATGTTTCAAATACAGAAGCTTTCTGTTTACTAGGTGTATTTCAAATAAATCTATAGCTTCACTCTGCCACAATAATTAATTATTAAATAATATTCACACGCAAAGACAAATCTAGTCTTTTTGGGACTTTTCAATATTTAAAAATACATGACTAATTAAGTTAGGATTTAATTTGATGTTGTCATGATATTTTTATTCAGAACTTTTGAACCTTGGAAGTAAAACGTTATACACATGATGTCTTGTTTTCATCTTACATAAACAGAAATTTTCTTTCAAAAATATTTTGGTCATAAAGCACGTCATTTAAAGTATTAATAGGCCTAACAATCAATGTTATTGAAGTAAAATCAGATTATTTTTAAATGTTATTTTAAGCCAGTGGCTATTCATTATAGATAGTGAAGGTTAAACTTTGTTTATACAAAACCTTTTCCTACTAAAATCAAGAAAAAATAACAATAATAAGGTTGGGCCATCCACTTTCCCTACTCATTCATCTTTCCAAAAGTTCCTTGATCCACTTCTATATTAAAGGTAAAATATAGAAGGGAATTTGGCGATATTCGGATTTTGATGAAAATTTGTATGCTTTGAGAATTCGTAAAAATGAATCTAAATATAGAAATATATATATATTTGTCATTTCGGAGCCTTTTATGACTATGCGGTATAGGCTTTGCTCATTGTTGAATGCCGTACGGTGACCTAATAATAGTTGTTAATTTCTGTGTCATTTGGTCTCTTGTGAAGAGTTGTCTCATTGGCAATCATACCACATCTTTTATATATGTATATATATATATATATATATTAGCGATTGGTGCTGTACTGTAATCAAAGTTATGAGTTCGAATCCCGTTGAAGGACAAAAATTTGTCAGCAGAAAAATCTAACTCAAACACTGTTGGGTTCAATTTTCAGACTTATATATATATATAAAAATTGCGGTTTTTATCCAACGCAATCATAGGTTTGAACGTTGTTTTCATTTTAGACTTGTTTATAAATATATGGATAAAAACCGCAACTGGTGACGACAGCTAAGATGTTACAACAACGATTGCGTGGAAATTCATTCCCAATAAACAGCACTGACCGATCCAAGCTAGTATAGTGCAGTTGTTTTCAATTTAGGCTTGTTTATATATTTACCCTGTATCTCAAACACACTGAGATCCAGTGGGCATATATATTGTACGGTTGTCACTTGTTTAGACTTCATTGTATGATATACTTATTTCTAGTGACTGTATAATAAATTGCATCATTATCCCATACGGTATATAAAAAAGTGTTGAGTTAGATTGCTGACAAATAAAAATATATATTGTATAAAAAATAATATAACATCTACACACGCTTAAAACACAGGTCTTATATGAAAAAGAAGATGTGGTAATATGATTGCCAAAGAGACAACTCTTCACAAGAGACCAAATTGAACCATTCAGTGTTAGAGTAAGATTTTTCTGCTGACAAATTTTTGTCCTTCAACGGGATTCGAACTCACACCTTTGATTACACTACAGCACCAATCGCTTAGCCTCATGTCCAGCGCTCTCGACCACTCGACCACATCCGTCGTTGTAAGCAGAAAAATCTAACTCTAACACTGTTGGGTTCAATTTTCAGACTTATATATATATAAGAAGATGTGATATGAGTGCAAATGAGACAACTGTCCATCCAAGTCACAATGTATAAAAAGCAAACAATTAGAGGTCAAAGTACGGCCTTCAACAAGGAGCCTTGGCTCACAGCGAACAGCAAGCTTTACAGAACCCAAAAATGACTAGTGTAAAACAGGAAAACCAACGGTCTAATCTACATATAAAAACGAGAAACACAGGCTCCTGACTTAGGACAGGTGCATAAAATATATACTGATGATGATCATCATCAACACTTGAATGTCTCTCAAACAAATATCTATCATTTTATTTGAAATAATATTAAAGAACTAAATGCTCTTGTGTTTTCGATCGATTGATGGTTATTTGCTTTACGTTCAGTGGTTAATATTTTAGGGGGCATCGGTGGTGATAACATGTCAACACTGAGGTTGTGAATTC